AATTGTACAGTGGCATTAAGTGCCGTAATGTGCACCTCTGCCTACCCCTTCGGGGATAAAAGGCGTGATGTTATGTTATATGTTATGTATAATGGTATTTTTTAAGATGTCGTCGCTATAGAACTCGAGAGCGAGATCACCATGACCATTGGTGGGATGGTATTAGGGAAAAATAAGGAAATTGGAACTTGTGTCTGGTAGTTAGGTAGGTAGTAGGTACCATGTACTATAGATAAATGATGACACTTGTCCGCAAGCTCGAAATATTTGACACAAAACAAAATTAGATGTCACAATGTTGCTTGGTTTTAGATAAGAGGTCATAAGAGGTAATAGATTTTCCTTTGTGAGAAAAATGTTTTAATTTTTTTTTAATGTTTTATCATTTTTTAAAAGTTAAACATTCACACATCATAATAGAACAAACAAGTTCAAACAACCAATAAAAAATGCATTGTCACAGAACAATTTTTTTTTTGTAATATGCTTTCATTTAATGAGTATGCAAATTACTCAAATAATTAGGGTAAAAATAAGCAACAAATAACTTATTAATGCCAAAAACTTTGGCTTGTCTTTTTCCAACATCAATGCAAAGTTGGTTTGTTTATTTGCATTCATTGGAATTATTAAATGTTGAGTGAGATGACAAATATGAAACTAAAGTAATATCAATTTTAAATATGAAAAAATATAGAAATTACCCCAGATTTAAATAAACTAAATATAAAGATAAACATAACATTATGCAATACAAATATAATCTGTTTATGATTTTCGAACATTCAATATTAATTATTAAAAAGCAGAAAAAGAATATTTAAAAATATAAAACTAGAATCTGACCAGTAGTGAGAGCATGGTCCAAGCTACTGGTGGTTAGGGCTCCAGAGACAGAAACCTCCCCATAATGTGTGCCATTTCGAGGAAAACTGCTTTCTGTATCAAGCCCTTAACCCTTGTGCCTAACCCCAGCCTCATAAGTGGTGGTCGAGGCTGATAGGAATTAACCCATTGGCCGACATGACTATTGGGACAATGATATCTGAATACACATTCCACATGTTGACAACCTCATGACCCAAGCCAAGATATATTATTTGTCTACTCTTTTCTACTCTTTCTCATGATTACTAAAATTATAACATTTTGTAATAAATAATAAGATAATGATAATGACAGATACCAATTTCTCAATCTTCATATGTTACGAGAACTATTAATAGTTAATAATATATTTTTAAATTATTACCATTCACAAACATTCTATCAGTAGCATTTTCATTTCAACTAAACTATACCACGGAGCAAGCTGTCTACCACAGAGCATGGAGACACAGACAATCATGACTTTGCATCTATTTTCACTGCCGGACAGATTGATGGACTATGGTATATATACTATTTGTCATTATTATATTTCATTTCAATTCATATTAAATAAATTAAAGCGTAATTGTAATATAGCCAATAAGAGCTAACGATAAACAAACAAGCAGTTTGTTATCACATAGAATAACAGGTTATAGTGTAGGTAAGTAATCTAGTAGGATTCAGTTACTCAATAATATTTAAAGAATAATTAATATTAGGTACTGTTAGTCATAATTACCTGGTAATTGTTTACATTGCGCCTTGATACCGATGGAAAGCAGCGATAAACCTCTACGCAAGAAATTCATCTAAAAAACAGAAAAATATTACTTAAAATGTGCACTTTTTCCAGTTTTGTGGCCAATTTGAAGAAGATAAATATTCACCTTTTGCCGCAGGTAATAATTAGTTTACCAGTAACAACTAATTTAATGAACAATATTTCTAACAAAACAAAAAAGAAATGTTCAAATTTATTTCATAACCTCTCTGATAACATTTTGACAAATAGTGACACTGACAATTGTAGTACAGTGTTGCTCACATGATTATGACATTTATGTGGATAAATCACTGGATAAATAAAAATAACTTCGACAATTACGACTTTGTAAATTAGGAATTTTAATCAATTCTAATTAAAATATTTTAATTCTTTCAGCTGCTCGTAATAACGCCACCTAGTGGAGAGTAGATCAAACAGGTCGGTTCATCAAAGTAATGGACAACCTTCTACTTTCAAGTATTCACCGATAGATGGCAGTAAAAATAAAAAAAAAATATTCAAACAATTGAGTTTGGGCGCGATTTCTATTATTTTTTTTATTTAGTAATTATAATATTTTTATTAATTGTAGTTCTGTATTGGCTATGGCTCTGTATTTTTGATATTTTTCCAACACTGAAGTTTCTTTATTAGTAACTATTTTAACTCGTTGAGTATCGTCCCTATAGACACAATTAATTAACAATACTACTTAATTGGTTAAACGTGGGTAGTATCTGCTATACATTTTATTTATACACACCGGGCAACCATCTGGTGTCCAACGTGTCGCGGATTCGATTTCCGGAATGAAAAGCGTATTTGGCAGCACCGTTGTTGCAGTGACTGGGCAACCGGCTATTGTAAGTACAATGTGTCAATTCCCGCAAGGACTGAAAAGAGGCTGTATTACGGTTAGCGCAGTACCTAGTTGGGCAACTAACTGGTGTGCGACGTACCTATCGCGGGTTCGATTTCTGCGCGGAACGTAAGGAGTTGCCGTGGCTGCTGTAGGTACGACGTGTGGTGGTTGGTGGTTTCGATTCGGAATAAAAGACAGGGTTGCGCAGGCAGCAGCAAAGTAGGCACTTTTGCGGCAGGGTTGTTGCAGTAGCTGGCGTAGAGCAACCAACCTACTGGACCTGGTTCGCCGATGGCGTGTATTGCCTTGAGAGTGTTTGAAGATTCACGGCCATACATTCCCAATTGTTTACGTGCGATGATGTCGGACGCGTGTCGCTTCATGTATCGCCTTAACGTAAAACGTCTCCGTAAGATGCCTAAGAATTTAACTTATACAAGTAGTAACCTGGGGTAACAGCAGGAATAAAAATAAAAGTTGAAATAAAATGGTAAAAATGGATTCCTACGTTACTAAATCAATCATTACACTATGCAACGTTCCACATTCTCATCTCATCTATTAGGTACACCATGAGAGTTGACTTGAATGAAACAAAATACCAATAAAACTGTCATGTTGTCCAAAGCTGTTGGTATTGGAAGATGGCGGCGTGACAGGCAAATGAATAAAACAATACGCAGGCACTGCTGCTTAGCTTTTATTTCTCATACATTTAGGATTAAATTAAAAACTTCTGTCGTAATCCCGCCAAGTTTTATTGGGCCCGTCTCGTGACTGTTTCACTTTAACATTTATATTGAATTTTTAACATAATCCCGCGAAAAGTCAGTCCTACTCCTAAGTGATTCCTACTTGATACCTAAGTATAGGTGCTTCTATTACCTACGTACAAAATGGCGAGGTTTTATATCTCTGGTGACCTTTTCATAATATTACCATGAAATAAAACGTGTTGAAGTTTATTGGATAATGGAATGGTTTAACGACTGCTGTCGGTTTGTGCAGTTTTTTTTATGTCGTTGGTGCTGCATGAACTCAATTATAATTTACGTATAAGCAATTACGTAGTCTTAGATGATCTGATGGAGCCTAGCAATAAATAGGAACCCGCACATTATTTATTTATTTATTTATTTATTTATAATATGGACAACCAGTAGTTGCTACATTAGGTCTTATATCTAAGCACTTACATTGTAATAAATTACATTACATCTAATAAAAACTTTACTTGTTCTAAATAACATGAAACTCGGTTACCTATGGATGATTTCATTGTTTTGTTGAAAACCTCCCACATAAACAAACAAAATAAGTAATTGTCATGCAAAGGAAATAAAACCCATGGAGTAGAAAGGTAAGAAATCGTCTATTAAATAAATAGGTAACATAAATGGTTCAACCGCCAAGATGTTCTGTTTCCTCGTTCAAGTTGTTGTAGTTCGGGAGTCCGACGGAGTCCACCTGGATCTGGCAGATGTAAGGTTGCCGGAGGTGGCACCAGTAGTCCCTCAGGCCATGGTTGACGGCGTCCATCCCGGCGCAGTGAGGCTCCATTGGGTCGTTGCTGCGTGAAACAGAATTGCAGTTTAACCCATGAGATGAACATAATAACTATGTGCCACCATGTAGGTGATAAACCGAACTGTGGTAGTTTAGTGTGTGTATATATGTAATGTAGACTAAAAACTATTTACTGAATTTACCTGAATGCGACGTAATTACTGGCCCACTTGCTGAATCCTGTTGTATTGATGTTTTCACCTGGAATCAAAATAAGATAAGACTGAATAGTTGTATTTAATTAGTTGTATTCTATAGCAAAATGTCGTGGTGGCCGGGAGATTGGAGACGCCTGCTTCTCATGCACGAGGGTGCAGGTTAAGAACCTACCAACGGCAAGTACCAATGTGACTTTTTCCGAGTTATATCTACTTTCTAAGATAATTTAGACACCACTGACCAACGGTGAAGGAAAAACATCGTGAGGAAGCCTGGGCTTATAATTTCTAATTATAAGTTTGAAATCGCCAAACCGAATTGAGCAAGCTTGGTGTTTAATGCTTAAACTTTCTCCGTGTGAGAAGGTTCGTTTAGCAGTGGCCACTTATAGGCTGTTGATGTGATGTGATTCTGTAGCCTCACATTTCCTAATACCGTTTTAGTCGACTTTGACTGTCTCATCGGTTGTACCTGCTTGTGTCCCAATAATCCTGAGATTTTTAGTTTGAAAATAAATGTTTCATTTCATTTCATTTCATTCATTTCATTTCATTTCATTTCATTTCATTTCATTTCATTTCATTTAATTTCATTCAAAATCTTAGAATAGCACTCGCTCCGGTTAGGTGCATGGGATACAATATTTATCGGAATGTAACCTGTATATCCAATGATCCAATATGTGGAAATGTGCACCACACCATGAATATTTTTTTGTGATGGAATCAGCCGAAACGAGCGCCGCCCATGAACACATTAAACACACACGATTTGGAACTTGAGGATTGTTGGAGGTTTTTTTTTAAGGGGGGAAAACCATCGAATGACTGCTCCCGCCCGGGTGAGGCGGGAGGGAGTGTCAGACTCTTACTGACTAAACACCACCCCGTTCCTTCTCCTGCACGTCGAGCCGGAGCCCCGGTAACCCGTTAGTTTCTCCGCGACTCCGAATCGGCATAAGCCCTGTTGGGCCCCATCTGTGGTGGTCTGATGGTTCTTTGAGGCGCGCGCGGAACGCGACGCGCCGTACGCTCGGGTCTATTTCTGGTCGGACGGGGAGCCACCCATGCTCGCCGTCTGCAGGCCCGCGCTTACGGTGGCCGGAGATCGTCCTGTGATCCCCGACGCCCATGGCTGGAGCGGCAGCACTTCGCTGCCTCACGCGTCCCGCCTCCTCCTTAGCTAGCATAACTGCTTCGCAAAAGGAGGAGATGGCATTCCAGTCCCCCTCGCTCCGCATCATGACCTGCACTAGGCCCGGACGCCATCGCCGATCACTTCCCTGGGGGCACGGCGGTGCTCAGCCCACGCAGGGCATTCCCACTCTGTGTGTTCCACCGTGTCCTCAGGGCGGTCCTCGCGGTGATGACACCCGGGCGTTTCCTCCCGCCCCATCAGACACAGGTACCTCCCGAAACTTCCATGTCCGGTGAGGACCTGCGTCAGGCGGTAGGTGAGGACGCCGTAGCGTCTCTCCAGCTACTCTTCAAAGGGGAAATTGTTAGAGGTTAGGGAGGGGGGTAATTAGGCCTTCGGTTCTGGGAACAAAAAGTGGTACAAATCTTCTCAGTATTTTATGTAAAAGCGTTATACTACCATCTACATTTTTCCAGACGGTGAAGTCATCGAGGTTGCTGATGCCGAGCCACACCAGCAGCTTGTACCAAGAGCCCACGATGTTCGGGTAGTACATGCCACGCACCAGCTTCTGCAGGAACTTAAACTCGTCCTGGACAAATTCAAAGTCAAAGTCATTTATTTCAATTAGACCAGGAAGGCACTTTTGAACGTCAACAACAAAAATTTAAAAGTGAAGCTAGCTCATACCAAGGTGTAGGTTCCTATGGAGAAGAAACTCCATAGGTTATTCTTTTTCAATCGGGTTCATAATACAATTTTCTAGTAATCGAGTTACATAGTTTTGTTGGTTCGATTATGTGAGAACAATGCAACACCTAAATGCAGTCAAAGAGATTGAAATATCTATTTATTTGGGTCGAAACTAGCTAATTATGAGTTATGGAAGGCATATGATAATCCCTTCATGTGAAATTTTGATATTCAGTCGAATGTATGTAGTTAAGTAAGATTTGTGTGTCCACAAATGGTGACTATAGAATTAGATAAGGAAATGCCTGGGGCACGATGATCAGTCGTGATGTAGGGGTTTATCACGGTTTCGTAATTTTTGGAAATATCATCGGCCAACTCAAGCTAATCGACCCATGCCTTTTTTCAAATAAAATCGTATATTATATGTACCTATTACGACCTATTACCTCTGTGGGCATTGTAAAAGGATACCCAGTAGAACCAAAGTCACCTGTCTCTCCACATTAGAGTATTTTTTAAGTGAATCCTGAAAAATTTAGGGTCTCTCAATATTGCGGAGCTTAGTAAATCCGTCACTGGAAGCGAGGAGTATCGGCACTTCGGTAGTCGTCCTCAAGTAGCAATAGTCAACCGTTTAATGTTGCAGCGCCGCCATTGTACTTATTGTAAGTTATTTCTTTAAACTGTGCTCGGAGCCTCGGAGCGCGCAAACTTGGATTGCTTCTCGTTCTAGCTGTCACTTAACTTTTTTCTGCTTACAGTGAAGTTGTTCTGAGTTTGTGACGCCCTCCCTGGCGGGCCGTACTCGGAACACAGCTTCGGCTTTATTTTACTTTTGAATTATTAATCACGAACGACAGGGAAAGTAAGTAAAAGTGTTTTCTTCACACTCGAGGAAGATAAGTAACTGTGGCAAATATTCGTTTGAGCGAGATTGTGTACGTCGCGTCGTACGTGCTATATTATTTCAAAGCCTTCATAGAAATGTAACTCACATGGGATCAAAATTTGTTGGTTCTGGACATACGTATCTACTGCTATATTTATGTAGTAGTTACCTGTGACTTGGGCACAGCCAGTGTAGCGCCGTTTGCTTCACATTCCACCTTCGCTCGTGTCCATGTCTGTGCTTGGTACATCACTTTGTATGCTTTACCCGCAACCTTGTTCACTATGTAGCCTGAGAAACGGGGAGCCAGGTTATTAGAACACTAATTATAAGCAGTTCAGACACATGAATGTGTAGAAGCTAAAAGAGTAACTATTATGTATGCATAAGGCGCGTCTTATATATGTTTTCCACGAAAAATGTTTCACAAAATCATGCCAGAAGAAGCAGTGACTTAATTAGTAGCGCAAGTAACGGCGAGCATAGCTCCAAGTAATTAGTGGAGCAGTGCTTACCATGAGGAGCTTCGCTTTGAACACAGGCGGAGACTGCCAGCGTGATGAGGACGACCGCTCTGTGAACGTAATACTTTGGCTGTAATATCATACTAAGTTAGGGTACGTCGAGGAGACCGGGGTAGATTGTCTCAAGGGTGGGTTGTTACAGACAACGAACTATATATTATATAATAATTGCACGGTTGGTGCGGTGGCTGGACAACCGGCTGCCGTGCAACGTGTCGCGGGTTCGATTCCCGCACGGAACAACACTTTGTGTGATCCACAAATTGTTGTGTCGGGTCTGGGTGTTATTGTGTAGGTATGTGATCTTGTTTGTTTGTAAACGCACCCACGACACAGGACAAAATCGTAGTGTGGGGCCAAGTTTAAAAAAAAAATTGATTGTGAAGTGATTTTTTGCCTTCAATGGGACTGGACGAACCTATCGCCACAAATTAGATACTGTGTCAGTTAAGCCGGCTGACAAAACGGCTTCACTGGAGCGATACTACGGCCTAACAGAAAATCGGCTTGAAACAACGTTTGTGTCATGTATCGCCCTGTGAGTGAAGTTACCGGAGGCGAAACTTCCCTCCATTCCCATCTCTAAAAGGCCGGTAACGCCATATCAGCTCCTATAATGTTGCAAGTGTCCATGGTGGCATCGATTGCTTACCATCATTTAATTCGTCTATTCGTTGACCGGCTAATGCCATAAATAACCGATCCCAGTCTCTCCTTTGTACCAGTATCGGGACCGAAGCAACGATACTTTGCCAGCTGGTCTTAATTAAAATATGAAATGCTACCGATGCTCTCGTCCCTCAATAACTTAAAGTATTTATGTTTACAAATTGGAATTCAAATGAATACAAATGTGAGACGATGGCTAAAACAATAGTCTTCGTTTCTGAGGCAATCAAGAAATAGATATTTTTTGTTTTAGTTCCTATGAAGTGTAATTATTGTAGGAATTATTAAGCCATATCGGTTTCCCCGAACCTCGAATATTTTAAGGAACCCCTAAGCTAAGATAAGATAGCTTAACGACATTTTGGTTTTCATAACATCACGCCTTTTTATCCCCGAAGGGATAGGCAGAGATGCACATTTCGGCACTCAACTCGTCGAGTACCGGTTTTGTAGACACAATTATAGAACAATAGGTTGCGGTCACCGGTGACCGCTTGGTGTTTGACAGTTTAATACCACTGTACAATGTAACACCCACCTTTCACTATTTATGTTATGAGTCCCATGTAATAGGGGGTCCCATGTAATAGCCTATTGCCATATACCGGGCACATTTCCAGACTCCGTGCTACTACTGAGATTTTTAAAACCCAGTAATACTTTGCCCAACCTTAGAATCGAACCGGCCAACGAGGCAGATTTTGGTTTTCACTAACCTATAAACACCTAAAGTGTTAGTTTAGGTGGTTGCTAATGCTAAGTAACTCTTACTTAAGATATGGTTCAGTTTGGAGTGGTTGGAGACATCGGTCGTAAGTAGATTACTAATTTAGGTACTTGTAACAAGACATGATAAAATATTACGTTACTAGGAAGGAAGATAGGCCTTACGAGACTTTGGGAAGTGTTATGTATTTCCTAACTTAAATTGATAATTAAAACTATTATTTATTAGTACTCACCTCATGATTAATGTTTCCTTACGTTCGTTGAAGAAAATCAATTTATTACAATCAAATACTTTCCACTTTCTTTAACACACATATAGATAATATTATGTAGCTTTTATTAAGTCTTTTTATTATTTATATAAGCACGTAGTTCCGTTATTGCTAATTACCATTCATGTATGTACTTACTTAAATAGATATTTTTTTGATAAACATTACATTCACGAGTCCCTGAGCAGTTAGTTAAATGAATTAGCTGAAATGTTTAAGATAAATATTGCATCGCATTGTGTTGTACACATTACCATTATGGGATAATTTACTTAACAGTCGAAATAGTAGAGAAACATCATCAACACAAATAATTGACTTACACTAGGGCCCCGAGGATCAACATTATTTAATAAAAGGTACACAAAAACAACTTTTAATGATTAGTTACAACAAACTCACAATAGAGGGCTCTATTTCGTTGTTTGTATTCGACTGGTGTTAGAAGTCTGTGTCAGCAGTAATCCACTAAGTAATTGTATAAGAAGACAGAGTGCCGGCACAGTGACCTATTTGCTCCCAATCTTCACAATGTTCACCCTTTCGGCTTTCAGTCGAGAGCAATTGTAGTCAATGGAGCCTTAAGTCGCGCGGAAAAACTGGCGCGTACTCACAAACGAATTGCCTGAGATAAGTGGCTGATACCGTCTGCTTTTCTTATTTTAAAGTTAGAACGAAAATCGAGGGATTTGTTGTAGAAACGTTACGGGTGACACGATGAAATATCGCGAGTTATACACTGTTACACTGCTTCTACACTTCTACTGAAGTGGACTATTCTTGACTGTCAGGTCGATTTTGTTCTATTTACTGCTTTGGAGTTTACAGTATGCAATGACTTAGTTATTACTGTCTAAGGTATGTGAGTAATGAGACGGGATTGCCCCAATTACTTAGGTACACGTAATTAGTCATAAGTGACTACCGGGTACAGTATGTTCGTTTACTGGAAATAAGTTTGTGGTGTTAATTATCCACTACCTACGTCAAACAAAAGGTACCTTGTAGTTATCTAGGTATTTGCAAGGATGATGCAGTCGCTAAGTGACAGACTGCGTAACGCGACAGGTTCAATGTCCGTTCAGAACAAATATTTGTTTTCGAGTCTACGTGTGATACAAGTGTATAGGTACATAATGTTTTATGTAGTTAACGTTATATTTACGGTAAATATACCCGAACTTCAACTTCAAAGAAAAATAGACTTTGTTAGAGTATTATTTAAACACATTAAAATTCGTCCATTGAACACTAAAATGATATTAAAGTAAAGGAGAGTTCAATTTTACGAGAGTTGAAGTGTCTGCAAGCGGTGCTGTGCATTTTTAGTAGCTAATAACATTGGGGGAACCAGTGCCAAGTTTTAACCATAACTACAGGACATTCTTGTATGATGTTATTTCACTTTGCAAGGCAAACTTTAGGTGGAGGATCGTTTAAAATAATTATCTTGCTATCATATTGCCAGTAGCGTAACTGTATCGCTCGGGTCCGTGGATTCATCGCAAGGGCCCGTTTCTAATAAAAACAGAGACGTTCAGATGAAAACCTCTGAACGGGCATATTGTCTACTTTCCTACATAATAATAGGTATAATGCTGAAGGTTTTTGTCAAATGTGTCGTCCCGTGGGATCAAAATGAATAACCAATTATATTAAAAATTCTGAATCGACCTAAGTTTTCTTCAGAAACTATTTAAAATCGACATGAAGATTTTGGATCAAGACTAGTTATTAATTTTGGCAAACAATTAATTAACTCTTAAGTCACTCGCAGAAAGTGTAGGGGTCGTGAAATAATGTACTACCTACCTACAACTCCGCTGTCACTTTGTCACAGCTTATGTAAAAGAGACACCAAATATAATTTGTTTTTGTTTTTACTACGACGCGACGACGTGAAGGTATGTCGCTGTCCTTTAAATTTAAATTACCAGTAGTACGCACATCACGCAATACGGAAACTACGGCGCATGAGCATACCACTGCACTAAAATATTAATAAAGTGTTCAAATGCATTGCCCCTGCGCATAACTTCAAGTCTTGTATTTCCCGAAACGGTAGGGAGTGGGTTTAAATACACCTGAATATTTAACTGAATCTCTTTTAATTTTTATGGAAATAGACTGATAATAACATTGGTCCCTATTTCTTCTAAAGTGATGTTGCCTTTTGTGAAATTCCATCACGCTTAGTTAAGTGTACTGTTCTCTTTCAATAATAAAGGCAACAAAATTATAATAATCTAATTAGATTGTGTTCCTAATGATAAAAATGTAATTGAAAATGATCTGCAAAAAACTGACAACTGAAATTAATTATTATTGACGAAAGTAATTATAAAACCAAGTGAAAGAGATATCGGTTGAGCAGTAACGCTTCGATAATTCTACGTCATTGCGAAGACTGTTGTGGAGTTTTTGTTGTAAACGATTGTTTGTAGGAAATTCTGTTGTAGCATTCTGACTTTTGACAGTGAACAAGTTATTGGATAGATTATAATAATATGATTTTTGTATATTTTGGGGAAATTTCAGGTAGGAAAGAATTTATCTAAACGTGCACCAAACAAACCTAATTTATCGTTGTTTATAGTGATTTAAAATTTACTACTTCATATCGGATTTATAAAACATATTTAAAAGATTGTACCAAAATAAATATTGTCACACTTTAAACTCAAAAATATCACAAACATAGATCAGCAAATTAATTTAACAGCTAACGGTACGCTTGAACTCTGCTCACACGCAATTATTTACCAAAATATAAATTATGCACACTTTATTATCTCGACACTTTGCTGAATTAAAAAATATTGAACACACATTTTTTGACGTGAAAATACGAACTTTTAACCTTTGATTGGGACGATGAAATATTTATAAATTACTTTAGAATTGATCGGTTGATTGGTATCCGTTTTAGTATATTTTCGACCAATGTTATTAATTTAAACTTCACAGATATGTGGACACTTGTAACCGATGTCAGTGACTAACAGTTGTCCGTCACCTCGTGGTGAAAGTTCACAGACTAAACGAATGATAACCGCGCGCAAGTACTTATTGTCTTACGCAATTAAGGCGCACAATATACGCGTCATTCATTTACGTGTTTATATTTACGGAAATTTCGATTATTTCGGAGTTTGTGTAAACTGCCTGGCTATTGGAGCTATTGTCGTTTTTACCCTAGAATGAACTATTGTCGTATGTCGATTCGATTGTGTGTTCTCCAATGGTTGTTGATCAATAATGATCTCGATATTTTTGGTCTCTGGCCATAATAATATTAAATTCATTCACATCTCGTCGGTTTCGTTGATCGAGTGGCAAGTGTGAGTGCTGAGCAGATGCCACAACTTTGGGATCAACACTTAGTAAAGTATGGATTTGTCGATTGTATGTCATGTTTGACAATAGCATTGTCGAACAAACATTGTGTATTAACAGTATGTTTATGTCTACCAATTACAATAGGTATCTTATAGTGTATAACATAATTATAATGGAATAAGAACCACGGCAAATTCCCTTGAACACAAGGATGGTATTAAAAATCCTAAATGATATTTCTTGCACGACCAAATAATCAAACAGGACAACGGATACGGAAACCGCAACTAACAATACTGAGATTCTCTAATTTATATTGGATACAAACCAAACGATGCGGTTTCTGTACAATGTAACAACATACATGTACAACGTGTACGTGCATTGTGTGGTGGCGCATCCTTGTAACAGTTGTAGACATCCAGATTTGTGGTTTTACTTTGAGAGGGAAAATCATTATTATAATGACTTGGATGAGGCGAGAGGGAGGGTCAAACTCTTACTGACTAAACACCATCTTGTTCGTGAGTACCTATTCCTACTTCGAGCCGGAGTCCGGTAACCTATCGGATTTTCCGCAGCCTATATGCTTAATTCATTCTGTCTGCTGCAGTACTATATGCAGAACCCAAGGAAGTGGAAACTATCGTTTTTTTCTTCTCTTACAATATCTTCTGATTCACCTCGTTGCGGGAACCAAGACAGATACTCATGTCTCTGGAACGCGCCAGATTTCAGTGTTCCGGTGTTTTCATGGTTTTATCTACTGTAGATCCTGGCTTACAAGAGTTGCAACGATTTAGGGAGGTTGTGGCGGACTTGTTCCTAAAAAAAGCCTATTATGCTTGTGTATCGATTAAAGGTTTCAATAATCTACATGTTTTTTTGTAATAACTAATCTGTAAAAATAAAACTTTACCTATGACTGTCTCAAGTATAGCACTTGAGTTGTCTTACGACAGAATACTTAAAGGTTATTATTTAACTGAAAGGTTGTTATTCAATTCGAAGTTGTACTTAAATATCGTGCCTCCTCTGTCATTTTATAAAAAAATGTAGTTACAGAACTACACTTAAGCCGAGTGGCGTTTGAGTATTTGGACATTAGTTTGCACAAGTTAAACTTGCTGCCTGCTGTGCAAGGAGTTTTGAATTCGATTTCCAGTGTGAGCAAAAAGTTTTTAGTAATTTTTCGCTTTTAAATATTCTAAATAATAGCATGAAGTCCGTAATTGGGCCTGGTTATTACTTTTAGGATTATAATGCAAAATATTGTTATGTTGTAACCAGTAGCAGAAGGTAGTTATCAATAAAGTGAAGGATATGTCTGCTCGCATCGCTCCATAGTCCGCAGCTGGTAGCGCACTCCAGATAAAAGGAACAAATAAAACATTGCTACAATTTGTTACAATTACTTCATATGTCGCAGGAGATACAGAAGGTTCACTCATTTTTAACGTCACCGTATTTATTTAATCAGCGGCCCATATATTCAAAGATTTCTTGGTAGACATTAATTATAGAAAAGGTAAAAGAGTTAAATGTTCTTGTGTCATCATCATCATTGTGTTAGCCACAAGATATCAATAGTAACACAGGCCTTCCACAATGACTTACAGGTCGGACCTAAAAATGTAGCTCATTACTCAATATTTAACTTCACATATATTTATTTAAAATTCTCTACAAATTACATTTTTAAATACTACTTACAAAATAAAAAAGAATATTTAAAAATATAACAAATAGGAGCCGACCGGGATAGTAACGGGAGCAATATATGGTATATATCTATAGCATATTTAACTTGTTATTTTTATCTAAAGAGTTACACATTCATTAGAACAATGAATTTCCTACTTACCTTAGCAATTAAGTATTGTTATTATTCCTGTACAAAATGATTTATTTTATAGTGCTTACAATTTGTTTCATTCAAGTTTGATTTATCAAACTGATAAAAACTAGACTTTTGCAGGTACTTGGCTCGGTAGTTGATGTTGTTGATACAAGTACACTGCAAGCCATTGCGGTGCACCCGTGTGTTGCCACGAGCCAAATATTTGGCCGCGTCATAATTTTATTACAACACATCCCTGCAGGTGAATTCAAGTCAAAAATTCTGCAATTTTTGGCGTCGCTTTTAATGTCAATCTTTTTTATTTTAGTTTAGCAATTTCATTTCTCATCGTTCCCCGAGGAATGTTTAATGTGACTGTTCAGGGGCGCCACAGCGCTTAATTATTCATTCGCCAATGGGAAACTTTTGGAACAATATTTATTTTTACTTTTGTTTCGGTAGAACTGTGTTCAGAAACAACGTGCTGATACTCGGAATGGGACAAATGATTTGTATTTTCTCGTTTTATACTCAGTGTGTGTTGCTAACAGAAATAAGTCAGGCGAGGCAATGAATAACTATTGAGAATGTTTGCATTTATTAAATAACAGGCACACTGAGGTAGTAATAGTCTACCACAATGAGATACTAAGTGACCACAACACTCTTTTAGAGAGTACATAAATCATAAGAATACTTTGTAGCATACTATTTCGGTAAGCGACGTTTCCAATACTACATCCGAGCCATGAACTCAGTTAAACTGATAAAGAAGTTTATCACATTAGATTAGGGAAAAAACAGGAACAACGGCATTGAAATAAATAATTTAATAAACAAACAATACGTTATTAACTAATTATATTATTATCTGCTACCCAAATATATGGAACCCATGACCGGCTCCTTGACCTCCGAAGAATAGACCAGTGCCGTAACCTCCATAGAATGTTCGGAATCTATTCACTTCTTCGTTCTCTTTTTCTTCTTTCTTCTCCATTACTGTGTACCTCTCTAACTTCTGCTCCTTGTGCACTGTCTTCTGTAAGGGTATTACAGAGAGATCCTGTACTGGCACCAGGTTGTGATGTATTGGTATCAGGATTGGTATCACTGACGCTGATGATGGGTGCGTGATGTTTGCCGTGCTGTGGGACACAGTTTGAGAGATAATTGGTATCTTCACATTGTCATGTGTTATTATATGCTTGACGTCTGTGTGTACAGCGCTGTGGTGGATGTTTGACTGTGGGGGAGCGTGATGGAGAGGAATTATATGGAACTTGGGGACGAGGATCTGTTGTATTGGTATGGAGATGATGTTGGGACTCTTCTTCTCTCTGGTGGCTGTGTGGATGACGACATGTGGTATTGTGAGTGGTGCGTTGTGTTGTGGCATCAGCATCGGGATCTCCGCGCCAGGTTTCAGTTCTCTCAACTGTCTCAACGGTATGTTTATTGCTTGTTGCAGCTGTACTAGTAACACAAGTAGTGTCAGTTTTGTCACCATCTGAAAGTAGATATACAAGTGAAGTTAGATACATTAATACATTAATTGTGAAAGTAATTAAAAGTTGGACTCAGGCAAATTAAAATGCAAAGAATTTTGAATCGGATAGGACAACGTTTAAAGCTAAGCTATAAATAGGACAATCATCAAAATTAAAGTAAATCCAGGAGAATCCTTATCAGGGCCGTAATGAATTACAAAAGTATACGTTTGTAAAATACGTCATTGTTCGAAATAGAACAATGTGACGGCTAAACGGTCGGATCCATTTTGAAATTAGAGAACGAGCGAATGAAAGAAAGTTCAATGAGAAGAATAAAGGTTTGTGATTGTTCATTACAATCCCGAAAGAAGACTTCTAACAACTGTACTCGTGTTATACTTTTTGCCCATCTCAGGATTTTTAGTATTTATTTATTTCTTTTTATACGGTCGTTCTTGTATTTTCTCCATATTATGTTATGCCTGTGGCTACTAATTGAGATACTGATGACAATAAACCAGTATTAGCCATGTTTGACTAGCAATGCAACTGGCAGTATCTATTATTGACTGCAATAGTAAGTCGTCACTATTTCTACGTCATATTAAATTGACGAAGTATGATGTATTGCGGTGTTACTACACAATTTCTCAAAAAAAAAAATCAGTAAAGGTAACCAAGTACAGTGCCCCAATTTGTTCCACTCCTCGAGCAAGCTGATCTGTGTTCAGCCATAAGTCAGTGTGGTGTCAGGTGAAGCTGTTAATAACTGCCGTCAGCGACGTCACGCTGTCAGTGACGGCACCCAGTAATGACGCGTTACGTCCGCCGTCCGTCACCACTTACCACTGTCACTCGTCACTGACACTCAACGCTGGTATTAATCGCGTATTATAGAGGTAGGTGACGAACTTGTTTGGTTATGTGTAGATTGAACGAACATGTCCATTATTGTGTTTAGGAGTAATAGTGGGTTAGATATAATGGCATAGTGAAGCGAGTAGTATTTGCTTGTGATAAGTTTCTATTTATTGACACGTTTAATCAGACATGAATTAGTATACTGGGTTTAAAAAAAATATCAGTAGTAGCACGGAGTCTGGAATCGTGCCTGGTATATGGCAATAGGCTCACCCCCTATTACATAGGACTCATAACATAAATAGTGAAAAGTGAGTGTTACATTGTACAGTGGTATAATGTACACCTCTGCCTACCCCTTCGAGAATCAAAGGCGTTATGTTATGTTATATTATGTGAATTAGTATAAGTTAAGTGATCTGTTATAACGTTCCGCAGAAATTCATATTATTAATTTTGTTTTGTGGCTGCTCTTAAGATATAGAATGAATTGTATCAAGATCAAGTATTTAATTTACCAACTCTTAAAGAAATCTAATTTGAAACATTCAGTAAAGTTGAATGCTCTCACATTCTTAAGCCAACAATAAAAATAATTTATTCTTTGATTTGCAACGAAATCTTAGAGTGGAGCAGGGACGCACTTAATTGCTAAAAGAAGATCAAAACCAAAACATAATCCTTTATTGATTCAAGGGATACAGCGGATTACAAGCGGCTTCTTTATTAAAAGAGGTTTAAAACTCAACTTTTTCCAATATGGAGTTGGAAAGTAATTAGCGAGTGCAAGCCAGGCCAAGCTCGGCCAGGCTACTCAGGCCAGGCCAGGCGATCGCTGCACAAAGGATAGATAATCTTGTTCGATGTGATATCAGACTGCTACTATTTGTTCCAGAGGCTAATTAAATGTTCCTCTGTGTGGACGAGGCGTGCTAGGAAATAATTAATTAATGTCCAACGGGTTGTTGCTGGTTCATAAGTAGATACAGTGGGATTTATCATTCAAGTTCATTACTGACTTTGCGATTGGAATAGGCTTTTTTTTTTAAGCGGGGAAAATCATCGAATGACTGCTCCCGCCTGGGTGAGGCGGGAGGGAGTGTCAGACTCTTACTGACTAAAAACCACCCCGTTCCTTCTCCTGCACGTCGAGCCGGAGCCCCGGTTACCCGTTAGGTTCTCCGCGACATTGAAATAGGCTACGGAGTCAATGATAGTAAAGTCACATAGGTATGCGTATAATCATATTCAGACAAAAATGATAAATAAAAAAAATAATACTGATCGTCTTAGGTGAAGTCTATACCGACTTATTTAATAATATCCTGAGACATTATTGGTGGTCTTATTTTGTAAGTAAGCGCCTGACAAAGAGTTCATTAAGCCCTGTCCGGTCCCAAAAGTACCCAGTTCTGGTACATACATTACGTACGTGGTACAATGGATAATACCGTATTGACTAGTGACGGTTGTGGTATTGTAACGTACCAGTGTGTGTGACTTGTGGTGGTATTGACGGCAGAGACGTGGACAGTACGTGAATTGGAAAAGGGGAAGATAGATGCTCTAAAAATGTGGTGCTGGAGGAAGATGCTTGGTGTATCGTGGACTGAGTTCCGCACCAACGTATCCATATACTCCGAGAACTCGGCATTACAAAGCGTCTATCAACCATAGTACCGACGCGCATACTGCAGTACTTTGGCCATGTCTCCCGTCGTGATAACAACTCCATAGAGCGGCTGGTCGTTCAAGGGAAGTAGAGGAAACCAGATCACGAGGCAGATCACCTATGCGCTGGACCGATCAAGTCAAATCGGCAACGGGAAACCCAGTGTCAGACTGCGCCAGACAATCCACAAACAGAGAGAGATGGCGGGAGATCATGAGGAAAGCTGTATCGGCCACCAACACAAATACGGCCTCCTCAACGTGACCACGACCGCTCTGCCAAGAGCGAAACGACAGAGAAGAAGAAGGTGGTATTGAGATATGTAATTAAAAAAAGATTATAATATTATTGTTAGACCAAACGAAAATTCTGTTTCATCAAGTCATAACGCTTGCTATCTGTCGTGAATGTGAATACATACATATTTTAAGAGTCACAAATGTTTGCGATGACACCTAAAAATTTTACTTTCCGGGCTTCTAAGAATAAAAATATCACCGGAACTAATCGTTTTGAAAATTAATCACAATAAAAAGCGAAAAATATCTACAGCCAGCTGTCGACAATGTATTAATCAAAGTATCGATAAATATTAATTTATATGTCCACAAAATTAATTCTATTAATTATCTACATGTATAGTTATACTAACCGTGCCTGCGGCTTGGTTCGGTACATAGCATCCATTCTAAGTTGCACAGTATTTCTTTGCATAATACTAGGATAACACAAGAAAGTAGTGACACCAAGAAAACAGTACATTTAGAGTTAATCTAGGAAATAAATAGACCTATTTTGTAATTTCATCGACATCTGTAAGAACCATTGATTTTGCGTGATGCAAGTTCAAACATTATTATGTAGGTACAGACAAATGACAGACAGGAACATCTTATAACAAAGTAATTAAGAGGTATTCCATTGATTGTTCGCAATTATTTAAGTTGTCATCGATGAAAGACTGCATTCATCAAGTTTCACTAATTTATTAAATCCCACTTATTTATTGGAACCAGTTTTGTCTAGGATTATAGGAAGTCATTAATTTGTATTTATTTTGTGTATAGAAAATTAGATTTATTGCCCAAATGTGTGTTAACAGAGAAGAGGTCAGGTTTAATGTTCATTTTAAAATACAGTCGCGGTGATTAAACATCTATTTTGGATTTATTAGTTGTAAAATTTAAATATAGTGACACATACCATAGGTAGTGGAAACCGACTTTTAATTCTGAGACCATCTAAAAATAACAAGATTAATAAACTAACAATGAATACATTTAGTTTGTCGGTTATTTAGACGCATATTTTAAGCTTAAGCGTCTTTGGTCGAATATTTATTTATTTATTTATTTATTTATTATAGTTGCAACTACCGAGGAATAGTTCGATTCTAGGGTTGGCCAATGTTTTTTTGTTTATAAATTTTGTTATAAACTAAATAGAAATCGAGAATGGTATTTTTTATGGGGTAAGTTGGTAAAATAACAGACAGATCACCTGATGATAAGCAATCGGCGTCGCCCATGGACACCCGGAATACCAGAGGCGTTACACGTGCGTTACCGGCCTTTTGGGAACTGGGAAAATGAGGATTGTGGTTCGTGGATTGGCGAGACAGGGGAGGGGCGGCAATAACATCTTATCCTACATCTTCAAGGATAAAAAGCTATGACGTCACATTGATAATGATCATACAAATATAATGATGGTTCGTACGAAAAGAGTAAATTATATTTTACTAAACACAATTAGTAATGAAAGCCCAAAACCTAAATTTACGGCCACAATAAGGCTCTAGTTCATAAGTTATACACAAAGAGCTGACAAAACTAATTGATATAAATTGTTCAAAAGTGTCGCGACCTCCTCACTTAGTACATAATATTCAAGGTAGTTGACCTCCCAGCTAAAAGCGCTGTATGGCTAAACGTAATCAGTGTTGGCACATAATATGGTAAGCAGGTGCGACCTAATTAGGGTGAGACAGAAGCGCGTTAAGCTGCTGGAAGGCGGCGTTAACTTATATGCTTTGGTCATTGTTGATGTGTGAATATAAATATATCTTTTTCGTATAAGCGGAATTGCTCTACTTTCAGTAATACAATTTTTGATAGAAACACATTGACATTACATAACATAACATCACGCCTTTTTATCCCCGAAAGGGTAGGCAGAGGTGCACATTACGGCACTTAATGCCACTGTACAATG